CCCCCCCCCTCCCCGCCCCAACCCTTTCTGGTTATTTCATACTTTATGGAGCACTACTGGGAATTACTGACCTGGATCTCTTGTCTCACTATTGATATGAATCATCTCCTATTACTTACAGATTACTTACAGATCACATTTTGATATAACTTATTTTTCATTCCTGATGACGGCAAAGCTATTGCACACTTTCACCTCTCTCAAGACCTCAATTCTACCTCTATTTGTAGACCTTGACCTTAGAAAACTCTGTGTCTAATGATTGTATTAGGCTGAGGAAAAGTGTGTGGTGAAATACCTACAATACCTGGCAGAACCCAGTAGTTGTATAATATCTGGATGTATAGACACATCCTTCTAGACCAGTTAAAAATGGGGTATATCGGGGCGCCTGGGTGGCGCAGTCGGTTAAGCGTCCGACTTCAGCCAGGTCACGATCTCGCGGTCCATGAGTTCGAGCCCCGCGTCGGGCTCTGGGCTGATGGCTCGGAGCCTGGAGCCTGTTTCCGATTCTGTGTCTCCCTCTCTCTCTGCCCCTCCCCCGTTCATGCTCTGTCTCTCTCTGTCCCCAAAATAAATAAACGTTGAAAAAAAAATTTTTTTAAATGGGGTATAAACACTATGTGGGTGATGCCTTTGCTGGGCAGACACGAGTCAAACACTTCTGCACCTTTGATTTATGTATTAGCACTAGCTGGGGAGGAGTGGTATTTTTTCAGGGGGTATAGGGAAGCTAATACCAGAGGCTTCTTGGACTCAGCTTTTGAAACGTTTATAAAGATCTCATGTAGATATCCTTTCCCCTCCCCCACCAGTTTGCCAACTCCCTATGTCGTGGTAATGCTTCGGATTCTGTTCATCATTTTTTGGAAATCAGTGAGGGCATTACACAGCTTGAAGGGCATCTCCTGGACATGTCTGGACGCCTAGTTTTCATTTGTAACCTCCTGATCCAGCCCGGATAGGAAAGTATGGATGATGTAGAGAACCAAGTTATCGAGTAGAGTCCTTAATACATATTTGTGTGGGGCTGGTTTTTTTAGCAGCTTTATTGAGTTATAATTCACATACAGTACAATTCACCCATTCAAAGTGTACAAGTCAGTATTTTCTAATATATTCACAGGGTTGTGCAACCATTACCAAATATAATTTTAAAATATTTTTGTTTCCTCTAAAAGAAACCCTGCCCGTTACCTGACACACCCTATTTTCCTCTCTACCTACCCCTAAGCAACCCCTAATCTACTTTCTGTTTCTATAGATTTGCCTATTCTGGAAATTTCATATAAATGAAATCATATAATATGTGGTCTTTTGTGAGTGGCTTCTTTCACTTACAATAATGTTTTCAAGGTTCATCCATGTTGTAGCATTATATTTTATTGCTGAATAATATAGCATTGTATGGTTGCTACATTTTATTTACTCATTAGTTGATGGACATTTGGGTTGTTTTCACTTTTTGGCTATTACAAATAATCCTGCTGTGAACACTTGTGTACATGTTCTTGTGTGGATATATGTTGTTGTTTCTCTTGAGTGTATACATAGAATTGGAATTTCTGGGCCACACGGTAACTTTTTGAGAAACTGCCAAGGTATTTTTCAAAACAGCTGTATCACTTCACATTTTCGTCAGCAATGTATGAGGGTTTTGATTTCTCTACATCCTTGTCAACCTTATTATTGTCTACCTTTTTGAATTTAGACAAACTAGAGGCTGTGAAGTAATATCTGTTTCATTGTGGTTTTCACTTGCATTTTGCTGAAGACTAATGATGTTTGAACATCTTTTAATTCGCTTATTTATAATTTTTCTTGGGGAGAAATTTATATTCAAATCCTTTGCACATTTTTAATTTGGTTTTTTTGTATTTTGATTGCTGAGTTGTAAGAGTTCTTTATGTATTCTGGGTATAGGTCCCTTATCAGTTATTATTTGCAAATATTTTCTCCCAATTTGTGAGTTATCGTTTCACTTTCTTGATGGTGTCCTTTGAAGCACAATAGTTGTTCATTTTGATAAAGTCAAATTTATGAAATGTATTTGTTGTTGTTGTTGTTTGTGATTTTGGAACCATAGGTAGGAAACTATTATATGAAGATGTTTTGTGAACAATAGAGATTTCTTTACCCTTAGTTTTTCTAGGAGCTAGGACCCCTGTCAACTTGGGTATAATTCTATACTTGGTAGAGTTTCAGGGCTAGACCTTAATGATTAGCCTATTAGCAGTAAAGATCTTTGGTGGCAGGTCTAATGCTGGGCTTAATGGGCATCCATTCATGAAGCAGCAGCCCAAATATTCCTGATGCTGAAGGGAGTGGGCGGTAATGGCCAGCTGCACTAGCTCCTTACCCTACTCTACCTCTAGAGAAGCTGTGCCTCTAATCTTAAGGACACAATTTCATTCCACAAAGGCTCAGCACCAGAGCTAATGCCACCCGCCCCCCCCACCCCCCCCTGCCCAGAGACCTCACCTAAAGTGCATCCCGATTGCTAGGTTATCCCAATACCCCTGTACTAAGAATGCCTTAGATGATTGGCATTGCTCCCATGTGTAACTGGTGGATATTGGTATCCAGATTTGCAAAGCTGGGGCTATAAAACTTACCCTGAAGTGTGGCAGGGTTTTGCATGTTTTTCCAGAGGTGATTGGTTACTGAGCTGCCTGGATGGGCTTCCCCTGATGAGTGGGGCACAGTAGCAACCACTGTTGGGCTACCTCTTTGAACTCTAAAATAGTAGAAGAGGGGAGTCAGAAAGGCAAGCTAAATCAGAGCCTATTAGGGAAAGCTGAGATTCAGATGTCAGGATGAACAAGTACCAAAGTCACAGGACAGACAGGACTGAGGTTGGGGTTGGAGAACTGAGACCTCAGACTTGGGCAGAAATGTTTAAGGAACAAGTGAGGAAAGTTCTAGTGTGTCACTAGGCTGCACCTTCTTTTGGTAGATGGAGACTTGATGGGGCATTAGTGTTAGTCTGTCCTAAGGAGCCAGAACTAAGGAAGTACAGTATCCTTTGCTTCCTTTTCCTCTTCCTGCCATGTAAATTTTGGTGAATGTTGATGTTTCCCAGAGCCCTGTCTTTAGTTTTGTTTGCTTCTCACCCTGAACATTTGTGGGAGAGAAGAGATGGGATGGGAAGCTGGTGTTTCTGGGGGTAGATTCAAGGAACTGGAGCTAGTAGGTAGGGTAGGGGGACATTGAGATGAGGCAATCATAGCAAGTTGAGAACTGGGAAAGATACCAAGGTTGGTGAGCAGAGAAGGGATCACAAGTTGGATGTCAATACTGAGGGGTCAAAAGCTGATAAAGAGTGAGTTGGTGAAAAAGCCAAGAGGAGGACAAACAAGCAGTGGTATGGTCATGGCTGATCACCATGACTGGCTTTCACATTGCTGCTATGTGGTGTTGGGGGTAGGAGACACACTGGCTAAGTTGGAAAGCCCAAGCATGGGACTGACTGCTGTCTCTGCTTTTGGCCCCTCATCCACCCATGGACAAAATGGAGGATGTGTTAGTGACAGGAATTCCATCCTAGTCTCTGGCCCTTGGGACCAGGTGGCATGGTAAGGGATAGCAGGCAGTCTCAGCAGCCTAGGAGAACACAGCAAGTGGGTAGTTTGAGTTCCTTGGTCTGTTTTTTAAAGTTTGTTTTTGTTTTTTAAGGTACGTGGACTGTATGTGTTGGAGAGCCAGGTATTTCTCATCTTTACATAGAGCATATACAGTGTGTTGCAAATTACAGGGGGCTCGTATTTCCTCCAGGTTTCGGCTGGCTTCTAGGATGACAGTGGTGTTTGGAAGTGCACAGAAATAGTGGTATAAGAGGTACAGTTGCTCTGAAAATGGTCATCTGGTTGCCAGGTGGATGGAATTTATGTGAATTCTGCTGGCTCGGTAGGAGGACCAGTACTGTTGTCTTCATGGTGTGTAGTATTTGGAGGAATCCCCTGAAAACAGGTTCATTTTGTTTGGCCTTGGACCAATGGGTCTGCCCTGGAGAGCTTTGAGCATTATTCTCCAAAGCAGGAATCAAAGTGGGGAATCATTGATGAAGGTTAAATAACTGAGTAGCCTGTAGATGTGAAGGACTGTTTTTTTTGTTGTTGTTGTTGTTGTTATTTTGTTTTGGTTAAGTGGTGGTGTTGGTACATCGAGATGGAGGCAGCCATTTGTGCAGTAAAGTTCATTTTGAGGGTTTCCCAAGGCTCTTCAGGGGTCAGAACTGACTGCAGTTGTCTTTAGGCTTCTGGGGACTTCTGTTGCTTGAATGCAGGTGAAAGGGAAAACAGATGTGGATTTCTGCTAGTATGACATTTCAGAATTGTGGTGAGGGCCAAGAAGAATGGTAAAGGATTTTATTTAATTAATTAATTAATAATTAATTTAAAAAATTTTTAATGTTTGTTTATTTTTGAGAGAGAGAGACAGACAGAGAGGGCACAAGCGCCCGGGGAAGGGGCAGGAGGGGGTGGAGGGGTGGGGTTGGGCAGAGAGAGAGGGAGACACAGAATCTGAAGCAGGCTCCAGGTTCCGAGCTGTCAGCACATAGCCAAGGGGCTCACACCCACGAACCATGAGATCATGACCTGAGGCAAAGTCAGATGCTCAACCGACCAAGTCACCCAAGCACTCCAGAATGGTAAAGCTTTTTAATCTAGTGATCCAAGCAAAATGATTTTCAGAAAATTCTCAAGAGCAAAAAGACAAAATTATTCAGACATCTGTAAGAGCTTTTACTCAAATTCTTTTCTTCCTCCTCTTGAAAGGCAAAGTGATCAAAATTTGAGAAAGGTAGTAAACTCTCTCTAAACATGATAGAAGTAGTCTAAGGGTAGTAATGATTGGTGACAGAGATTTGTCTTCTAGTTTATCTCCTCTGGCTGGTTTTAGGTAAATGATTCTAGGGCCTGTTTATTGGGTTTTTTTATTTTTAAATTTTTATTTATTTTTTAAGAGATTTCATTTTTAAGTAATCTCTACACCCAACATGGGGCTCAAACTCACAACCTGGAGATCCAGAGTTTCATTCTCCCCAACTGAGCTGGCCAGTCACCCCTTGGTTTATTTCTTAAATCAATGATTTATTAAGAGCTTATTCTAGGGAAGGGTGCTAATACCCCATTTCTGAAATAACGCTTCTCTTTTTAAGATTACAGAAATGATAACGATTGTGCAGACATATTCAGCCTTGAGTAATTCCACCATAGAGGGAATAGATATTATGGCAATAAAATTCAAAAGTATATATCAAGGCGTTAAGAAAAAACAGTATGACATTCTGGATCCAAGAAGGACAGAATTTGATACAGATTTCTCAGAGTTCATGACAAAAATCAATGGTTTAGAGGTAAGTAATTATACGTACTTTTACTTTAGTAAAGCTGAAATGTAATAGTCCTGGAATTTACATATCTACTATATAAGTTACTCTTGTGTAATTGATCAAAACTATTTGCCAGTGTGAATAATTTTTTAACCAGTCCACAAAATATTTTCCTCAAAATAAATGAGAAATGAGCATATTCAGTAAAAGATATCAATGAGTAACAGAAGCCCAAAAGGCTATTGTAGCTGGGGTTCATGTCTAGTTTGCATCAGAATTTGTATTCCATTGTTACCATTATTGTTATGCTGAGGAGCCCATGTCGATTTTCCCGTCTAAGAGAAGATGTGTCATCCTTATTGTTTGTTTTAAATGTGAAAAGATTTGAGGACAGATTAGGAAGATTGACTGCCCTCCCAGACTTGGCCTTGCACTTTATGGCCACATTCTGTCTGCAGCTTAGAGCACAGCTCTAAAAAAGACCTCATCCTGTTTGTCATAGCTTATGGGGTAGCAGAAGGATGAAGGGTACTTAAAAAAATATGTCTGGTGGGACCACAACATATTTCTCTCCCACCTTTTGGGCTTACATGACCTCAGTTACTCTCTTATCATAAAAGTACTGTAAACCTAGGCTTAGCCCCAGGGAATGGTCTCTTCTTGCTGTAGAATGTCCTGGAGATACAGAGAGGGACAAGAATATACTCTGTCCACTTCCTGAACCTGAAATTGTTACCATGATGGTGAAAAAAATTATATATATTTTCCTCATTTATTTTTTAAAGATTCTTTAAAAACTATATTAAGGTAATCTGGGCAATATAAATAAGAATGACCCTAAAATTCTAACAACACCCTTTCTTTTTGGCACAGATTGCCTTTCAGTTTTTGAAAGTTAGACTGTTTGGTATTTAAGATATATTTTAGTTATTGTTTATACTGTTTGTCTAGTTGGGCAGGGTGGAGTTTGCTCCCAAAATGCTTTAGGAGTTGCATCTTTATAGCAATGGGAATTTGTGGGTTTTGAAAAAAATTATTGCTTATTTTTATGATTTATTTATTTTTAGTGTTATTAGTTTATTTAGTTTATTTAGCCTTTTAGTTTTGTTGATTGTTTCCTTCACTGGGCAGAAACTTTTTAGTTTGATGTAGTCCCAATAGTTTACTTTTGTTTTTATTTCCCTTGCCTCAGGAGACATATCTAGGAAAATATTACTACAACCAATGTCAGAGAGATTATTATTTTTCATCTATGATAAGCGTACTCTTTAATCCCCATCATCTATTTCCCCCATCCTCTCACCCACCTCCCCTATGGTAACCATCAGTTTGTTCGCTATAGTTAAGAGTCTGTTTCTTAGTTTGTCTCTCTGTTTTTTTTTTCTTTTACTCATTTGTTATGTTTATTAAATTCCACATATGAGTGGAATCATATGGGTGTTTGTCTTTCTCTGACTGACTTATTTTGCTCAGAATCATACTCTCTAACTCCATTCATGTTGTTGCAAATGGCAAGATTTCACTCTTTTTTATGGCCGAATAATGTTTCATTGTGTATATACCACATCTTCTTTATCCATTCATCTATTGATGGACACTAGGGCTGCTTTCATAGTTTGGCTATTGTAAATAATGCTGTCATAAAGATAGGGGTGAATGTATCTTTTTGGATTAGAGCTTTTGTATTTTGGGGGGTAAATACCCAGTAGTGTGATTACTGGATCATAGGGTAGTAGTATTTTTAATTTTTTAAGGAACCTTCATGAATTTTCTACAATGGCTATACCAATTTGCATTCAGCAACAGTGTAAGATAGTTCTTCTTTCTCCACATCCTGGCCAGCACTTGTTATTTCTTGTGTTTTTGATTTTAGCCATTCTGACAGGTGTGAGGTGATAGCTCATTGTGATTTTGATTTGCATTTTCCTGATGATGTGTGATGTTGAGCATCTTTTCGTGTATCTGTTGGCCATCTAGATGTTTTCTTTGGAGAAATGTTCATGACCTCTGCCCATTTTTTAACTGGATTATTTGTTTTTGGATCAGTTCTTCATATATTATGGATACTAACCTTTTATTGGATATGTCATTTTGCAAGTATCTTCTCCTATTCAGTGGATTACCTTTTAGTTTTGTTGATTGTTTCCTTCGCTGGGCAGAAGTTTTTTAGTTTGACGTAGTCCCAATAGTTTACTTTTGTTTTTATTTCCCTTGCCTCAGGAGACATATGTAGAAAAATATTACTACAGCCAATGTCAGAGAGATTATTGCTTGTACTTTCTTCAAGGATTTTTATGGTTTCAGGTCTCACATTTAGGTCTTTAATCCATTTTGAGTTTATTTTTGTGTATGGTGAAAGAAAGTGGCCCAGTTTCATCCTACATCCTGCTGTCCAGTTTTCCCAACACCATTTGTTGAAGAGACTGTCATTTTCACATTGTATATTCATTCTCCCTTTGTCAAAGGTTAATTGACCTTATACTTGTGGGTTTATTTCTGGGTTTTCTGTTCTATTCCATTGTTCTATGTGTCTATTTTTATGCCAGTACCATATGTTTTCATTACTCCCTCTTTGTAATATAACTTGAAATCTGGAATTGTGATACCTCCAGTTTTTTCTTTTTTAAGATTGCTTTGCCTATTCAGGTTTTTGTTTTTGTTTTTGTTTTTGTTTTTGTTTTTGTTTTTGTGGTTCCATACAAACTTAAAGGTTGTTTGTTCTAGCTCTGTGAAAAATGCTCTTGGTCTTTTGATAGGGTTTGAATTAAATTTGGAGATTGCTTTGGGTAGTATAGACATTTTAACAATATTTCTTCTAATTCATGAGCATGGAATGTCTTTCCATTTCTTTGCATAGTCTTCAATTTCTTTCATCAGTGTTTTATAATTTTCAGAGTACAGGTCTTTCACTTCTTTGATTAAATTTATTCTTAGATATTTTATTGGTTTTGGTACAATTATAAATGGGATTGTTTTCTTAATTTCACTGTCTGCTGCTTCATTATTGGTATACAGGAATGCAGCAGATTTCTGTGTATTGATTTTGTATCTTGCAACTTTACTGAATTTATTTATCAGTTCTAGTATTTTTGTGTGTGTGTGTGTGTGGAGTTTTTAGAGTTTTCTATATATAGTATCATGTCATCTGCAAATAGTGACAATTTTATTTCTTCCTTACCAATTTGGATGCCTTTTATTTCTTTATGTTGTCTGATTGCTGTGGCTAGGACTTTCAATTCTATGTTGAATTAAAGCGGTGAGAGTGGACTTGTTCCTGACCTTAGGGGTAAAGCTGTCAGTTTTTCACCATTGAGTATGATGTTGTCTATGTGTTTTTCATATAAGGCCTTAATTATGTTGAGATATGTTCCCTGTAGGCCTACTTTGCAGAGGGTTTCTTACCGTAAATGGATGTAGTACTTTGTCAAATGCTTTTTCTGCATCTATTGGAATGTCACATGGTTTTTATCCTTTTTCTTATTGATGTGTTGTATCACGTCGATTGTTTTGCAAATATTAAACCAAGTTTGCATCCGTGAAATTGATCCCACTTGATTGTGGTGAATGATTTTTTAAATATAGCATTGGGGGGCGCCTGGGTGGCAATGATGTGGGTTCTGGCGATCACAGCTTCAGCTAGGTCACTCATCTCTGTCTTGTCCTGCCATGTGTCCGGGCCCAGCGTCCGGGTCTCATGTGGCTGATACAGAGCCTGGAAGCCCTGTTCATCTCTGTGGATCTCTCTCTCTCTGCCTCCCCCTGTATGCTCGTCTATATCTCTCTGTCCCGCAAATAAAAAAAAAGTTTGAAAAAAAAAAAAAAAAATAAATGTCAATATAGCATTGGTCAGTTTTGATATTGTTGAGATTTGCAGTCATATATTCTAGGATTTGGCTAGGTTCTCTCTTTTTTGTGTGTGGTGTCTTTATCTAGTTTTGGTATCAGGTGATCTAAGCTCTTAGATCAATTGAAGCTTTTCTTTTCGTCATTTTTGGGAAAGTTTAGGAAGAGATGTTATGACCTTCTTTATTTTTATTTTATTATTTATTTATTTATTTATTTATTTATTTATTATTGTTTTAATATGAAATTTATTGTCAAATTGTATTAACCCTTCTTTAAATGTTTGGTAGAATTCTCCATTCTCATCTGATCCTAAGTTGCATTTGTTGGGAGTTTTGATTACTGATTGAATTTAGCACTTTTGTGTACATGGGATAACTGTATTCATATGTTCTTTTTCTTCCTGCTTGAGTTTTGGTAGATTATATGTTTTTAGGAATTTATCCATTTCTTCTAAGTTAATTCAATTGTTAGCATAAGGTTTTCATAATATTCTGTTACAGTTGCTTATATTTCTGTGGTGGTTATTTTATTTCTTCCTCTTTCATTAAATTCTTGTTATTTGCTCTGTCATTATCTTTTTGTAGATTAGATACTTGCTCAGAGGTTTATCAATTTTGTTGACCTTTTCAAAGAACCAGCTCCTGGTTTCATTGATCTCTTTGATTGTTTTTTAGTTTCTGTATTATTTATTTCTGCTCTAATCTATATTATTTCCTTCCTTTTTCTGGGTTTGGGTTTTATTTGTTCTTCTTTATCTAGCTCCTTTCACTGCAAGGTTAGGTTGTGTATTTGAGATTTTTCTTGCTTCTTGAGGTAGACCTGTGTTGCTAGACTAGATTCCCCTCTTAGGACTACCTTTGGTATATCTTATATTTATATGATTTATTAATAAAGACTATATATTATAAAAGCTTTCCTGTAGCCTTAGATATAAATTTTAGCTTTCAGTAAATTTAGAGGCCATCTTAAATCTTTAATATTTTGGGGGCACCTGGGTGGCTCAGTTGGTTGAATGTCTGACTTTGGCTCAGGTCATGATCTCACGGTTCGTGGGTTCGAGCCCCGCATCAGACTCTGTGCTGACAGCTCAGAGCCTAGAGCCTGCTTGGGATTCTGTGTCTCCCTCTCTCTCTGCCCATCCCCTGCTCACACTCTGTCTCTCTCTCTCTTTCTCTCTCTCAAAAAAATAAACATTGAAAAAATTTTAATTTTTAATATTTTCAAATAGGTTTCAATGTTAAAATTTTCTTCCTTTCCCAAATTTTGATTAATAAACATAGCCTATATTAGTAGACCATAACAATTTATAAGTGAGAGTAGTTTGCAAAGGATACTTCAGTTCCATCAGTTGAGTACCAGGAGTTTGGAGTTCATTGCTAGGGATGGTGGGAGTCTTGGGAAAGTACTTTCTTCTTCTTGTTCTTCCTTAATGTCACCAAGAGGATTCTTAGAACAGTAGTGTTGGAAAATGACACTTGTTGACCCTGTGGGTCTATATGTCATTACATTGCTCTACCAATATGCTTAGAAATTTATTTTTTTTTAATTTTTTTTTTCAACGTTTTTATTTATTTTGGGGACAGAGAGAGACAGAGCATGAATGGGGGAGGGGCAGAGAGAGAGGGAGACACAGAATCGGAAACAGGCTTCAGGCTCCGAGCCATCAGCCCAGAGCCTGATGCGGGGCTCGAACTCACGGACCGCGAGATCGTGACCTGGCTGAAGTCGGATGCTTAACCGACTGCGCCACCCAGGCGCCCCCCAATATGCTTAGAAATTTAAATGTCCCAAGAAATATGCTTAGTAAGGGACATTCACTCTTATAAATCTCTAGGTCAGTCATATCCCATAAATAATGAGCAGAAAATGCAAACAAACCTCATATGTAATTTTAATTTTTCTAGTAGCCATATGAATAATAGTTAAAAGAAGCAAGTGAAATTAATTTTGATAATACACTTTTCCCAACCCAACAGAATTCAAAATATTACCATTTTAACATGTCACCAAGGTGAAAATCTTTGGGGGGAACCTGGGCGACTCAGTTGACTTCGGCTTAGGACATGATCTCATGGTTCATGAGTTCTGGCCCCATATTGGGCTCACTGCTGTCAGCACAGAGCCCACTTTGGATCTTCCATCCCCCTCTCTCTCTACCATTCCCTCACTTTTGTTCTCTCTCTCAAAAATGATAAAATTAAAAAAAATTTTAAGATAAAAACCATTGAGATATTTTATATATTTTGTGTGTGTAGGTGTGTTAAGTCTTTAAAATCTAGTGTGTATTTTACTCTCAGAGCACATCTCACTTCCAAGTAGTGACATTTCAAGTGCTCAGGAGCCACATGTGGCCACCATACTGGACAGTGCAATTCTAGATGCTTAGATGGTAGGTATGTTTAAGGCAATTTTGATTCTATAGGAAAATCATTAATTGTTGCTAAACAAAAAGAATCTCTCCCTAATGCCCCAAATCAATTGAATATTAATATTTTCTTTTAGATACAAATACAGGCATTTATGAACAGTACTTTTGGAAAAATCTTGTCTTCTCAGCAGGCCCTTCAGCTTCTTCAAAGGTATTTATAGTGCATTAAGCAGTGTAGTTTCTAGGTGGGATAACTTTGTATTTGAAAATACAAATTTCAAATAAGATATTTTTGGAAATCTCTCCTCCGTAAACTTTAAGACTTATAAACATTAATCTTTAAATTGCCATTAAATAGATTGGTAAAAATTTGAAATATAGTATGATATTTCTCATTGCATTTTTTGAAGCAGAAAGTCTTCCAATAAGAAAATGAAATTATTTCACATGATTTTTCCTCCAGCTGTGTAATATATCTGAAGTTGATTTCATAGATGTTATTGGAAAGGGAACAAATAATATTTAATTCTGCATACTGCAAGGATTTCTAGAAGTGAAGTTATCAAAGGGTAACAGATCCTCAAAGTTCTCATTTTTCCTCCGGAGTGCTCCTGCTGCTTCCTTTTCCTCTATTCCTGACAATGGTGCTCTCCTAAAGGGCAGGGCAGCCTGGACTGGATGCCATTTCCTTTGAGTTCAGGGAGGGCTATGAGCCCATGTTCATGTTAGGGATCCTTCGGGAATGCTCCCCTGAGAGCCAGTGCATCTGGTTTGGGCCCAGCTTTGCTATATAGCTCCACGTCTGTCTAATGTTGGATCATACCAGTGAGACTTTACCTCATGAGACCAGTGAAAGAGTCAAAACAGACAGAAAATGAGTTTGACAAATGGTAATACTGTACAGACAGATGGCAGCACCATTTTCTTTTTGATTTCTCTGTCTCTGTCTCTTTCTGTGTGTCTGTCTATCTTTTTACCCATAGTACGCGGGTGTTAATTCACTTTCTTATCAGGATGTTATTATCCTAGTATTTCCTGTGCATCACTTAGTCTGAAGGTGGAAGTGATATTTGGCAGACAGATCATTGTTTTGATTATGGCTATTTGGAATTGTGTGAGCATTACTGTTGTCAGAGGGATGCTCAGGGTGTTCCCCTCCATCTTTGCTAAGTCAACCCTTGCCCCCCATCTTTTCATTTTCAGTTTAAATGTCCTTTTCTAAGGAAGTCTTTCTTGCCTCGCCAGACTTGGCTGGGTTCCCTTGATATATGCATTCCTGGTCCCCTTGTAATTTAAATGATTTTTTTAAAACATAGCTCTTGGCTAAGTCTACATTTTCCATAAGATAACTGGAGGCTCCAAGAGGGCTGGCTCCACACTTGTCTTGTTCCTCACCGCATCCCAGGACAGTGCATGAGGTCTGGCATGAGTGTTTGTCAAATGAGTGAATGAATGGATTTTTAGGATGGCAGCAATTCTTAAGTATGTTTCTCATTGACTTTTTAATTATTCACCCTCACTCACTTTCAGATTCCAGAAGCTGAACATCCCCTGTCTTCAGTTAGAAATAAACCATACCATCGAGCGTATTCTTCAGTATTACGTGGCTGAACTTGAAGCTACAAAGAAGGCAAGGGTCATGTTTATAAACAGAGTGGTACTTTAGTACAAAAAAAAAAAAAAGTATTCTGAAAGCATTGCCCTTATTATCTGGTGCCAAGCTTTTCAAAATGACCCTTTCACTGCCAAGTACCTCTGATGTGTCCCTCCAAATGTGGGAAGGTGTTGACAGTGTATGTCACTGGACAGCCAGATTTACGTCCCTATGCTCTTAAGAACAGGGTTTGTTTGTTTGTTTTTGTAACAGCATTTATGTGTGTGTTGGAAAGCCCATTTAAGTTAATATTTCTGTGTAGAGAAATATGGGCTCTGGAGAATATTGTGACAGATATAATGTAGCTTATTGCTCCCTTATTTGAATATCTCCTTAAAATTTGGGATAAAATACAGAAAAAAATATACATGTAATGGGAAATAAGGGTTTAGAGAGAATTAAATGTCATATATTGGAAACATCGTAGTTTCTGAGCCACTGATGATCTCTAAAGTGCATTTACATATTTATTGACTAGCTCCTATACATAAAACATGTGAGTGCAAATGTATTGAATATCTTTTGCCTTTTCCATTGCATTGAATTTTAAACATCAATACCGTATCTTTAATTCCAGCTTTATCATTCTCAAAAAGATGACCCACCTCTTGCTCGCAACATGCCCCCTATAGCAGGCAAAATACTTTGGGTGAGGCAGCTCTATCGCCGGATAAGTGAGCCCATCAACTATTTCTTCGTAAGCCAATAATTCCATTTATAGTATGAGGATTACAGTAGTTTTAATAGAAGATGTATATTTTATCCGATAACATTTGTGTCCAATAAAGTCGTGAGAGCTAACTAATTCTTTCACTGGCAAAAAAAATTTAGTTTATAAATATGCCTGAGGGTGACCAAGCCAATTCCTTCATGTTTAGTAGATAAGCTCACTTAATTGCAGTTAATCTCTAAGGGGGAGAATCTTATAACTTTATGGCTTTTAGTAATAAAAGATACTTTATCAAGGCTTTTAAAGAGTCATTGTTTTGAAAATAATAAAAGTACAAGCATAATCCTGAAGCTTACTTCTCTGTGTGGACAGATATGTCACTGACATATATAAATGGAAGTGAAGACAGTCTTAGAGAGTATATTCCTTTTTAAAAAATTTTTTTAATGTTTATTTATTTTTGAGAGAGAGAGACACACACACACACACAGAGCGTGAGTGGGGGAGGAGCAGAGAGAGAGAGAGAGGCACACGATTTCGAAGCAGGCTCCAGGCTCTGAAGTGTCAGTACAGAGCCTGATGTGGGACTCAAACCCACGAACCGCGAGATCATGACCTGAGCCGAAGTCAGATGCTTAACCGACTGAGCCACCCAGGTGCCCCAGAGACACTATTTCTGAATAAAGAATTGAGATCTAGAGCAAAGTATAATGGAGTATATGCATTCTCTGTGTCCTTAAGATTATTAGATTTCTGAAAAATCCCAGGATACTCGTAGGCCATATTGTCATTTTGAAATTGCCAGTTTGTCTTGTCTTTGTTTTTTGTGTGGTTTGGTTTGTTTTTGTAAAGAGACAGAGTAACAACGCAGAGTTGCCTTGCTTCGGGTGGCATCTTATGCCTAAATACAGAAGGAAATAACTACCAAAAATAGTCTTGCAGTAATTTTAGTATTTAAGCATTTTTGGATATTAAATTTTTATTGTTGCTGTTTGACTGCTATCATTTATTTTACTGTTCTCACTATTTGTAAAAATATTAAAACGCTGGCCTTAGAGAAGAGGCCAGGACGGGGACTCTATTGCTGATTGACTCTGCAGTGAGATTGCTGTGTTTTTGACATCTGTGAGTCAAAAAGTGAGGCTTTCAGTTTTTATGTAAATAAATTTGGTTTTTGTTCTTTGATATACAGTTACTTTTTTTTTTTTTTTTTTTTTTTTTTTTTTTTTTTTTTTTTTTTTTTTTTTTTTTTTTTTTTTTTTTTTTTTTTTTGTGGTGCTGGAATTTGGGGATTTTCCCTGATATTCACAGCTCAAGGAAAATCAGTCCATTGTATCTTGTCCAGAAAATTGGGAAGGGAATAGAGAATTGAAAGCAGAGGCTCTCAGCCTGGCTGGCTGTAAGGCTGGATAGACCTCTCTTTCTTCTTAAATCCTTTATTTCCTTTTCTAGTTTTCCCTTTCTGCTGGTAATGTTTCTCTACTTCCATCTTTAGTTTGTATGGCTTTCCTCACCTCTATTTTACTCTGAAGCAAAATCTAAGTTGCTAACATAATTAATTATTTGATGACATTTTAAGTACCAACAGCTTTATGATTTGGATACAAAAACAACCAACAATCTTTTAATTTTGAATCTTTTTTTCCCCTTAAAAAAACAGAAAAACTCAGAAATTTTGTCAAGTGCAGAAGGTAAAGCTGTCATTCGTCAGTATAACAAAATTTCCTATGTTCTGGTGGAATTCGAGGTGGTCTATCACACAGCCTGGGTCAGAGAGATCTCGCAGTTACAGTATGGTGTGTATAAGACTATGCAGTGACACTAAGGAGGGGGTGTTAGGTGATTTTGAATGAATTCATGGTTCTAGAGAATTTTTACATCCCTTTAATGCAACATTATGATGGTCATATTTAGCTTTGGGAATGATACAATTATGTCTTTTTAAAATACAATTGTTTCTTTACAGTTACTAAATAATATTCTGATTTAATAAGCAACAGTTGCCATCACCTTAAAGTTGATATACTTAGATTGTGACTTCACACTAAGAAACAGTATTTAAAAGTAAATATCGAGACTCATCATAGATAGTTCTCCATAGATTTAGGGAAGTTTTCATCTTCAATTTTATCATGTTGTAGATTCAAATCTCAGTCCCAATCAGGGGAGAAAGAATTGCACTTTGCTGGTCTTCCTTTCTTCCTTCCTTCCTTCCTTCCTTCCTTCCTTCCTTCCTTCCTTCCTTC